AAAACCTTAGTAAAAAGATCGGCCTGCTGAGAAAGATACGAAGATACTTACCACTACTTGAGAGAAAGCTATTTTACAACGCTGGCGTCAAGCCAGTTATGATGTATGGTAGTTCTATTTGGAGTTGCTGCTCGCGAAATGATCTGCTTAGAATTTTCAAATTACAAAAAAGAGCGGCTCGGGTAATTTTAGGAACTGACACTTCCTCCAGGTCAATAGCCAATTTCAATAAACTGAACTGGATACCTTTTTATGATGAAGTTAAAATTAACAAATGCACTTTAGTTTACAAGAGCCTGCATGATCAAGCTCCGCAGTATATTAAGAACTTATTTAAAACAAACAATGAAATTAATGGTAGACAAACTCGTCATGGCGAATATAATCTAGTGTGTCCTAAATATAATTATGCAACTGAGGGAGGAAAATCTGTAACGGTCAGCAGCATTAAAATAGGGAACAATCTCCCGAAGGATATTAAGACGAAACCTAGCGTTAATTCCTTTAAGTTTGCCCTTAAAAAATACTTCTTAGAATCTTATAAGGGCATCGATCGCTTTGAATTATTATTGTGATCAGCAAGTTGTACTGTATATAATTTGTATATATAAATTTATAATCCTAAGATCTTTTACATATTTACTCTAAATAGCTTTTAGACGTTTTAAAGTAGAATTAATAACTTTGTATGTATTGTATATGAGGGCCACAGGTTTTTCAGTTATATTGCTGTCATGTGTTTTTACCCTCTTTAAATAAAGTTGTTCATTCATTCATTCATTCATAAACAATGGCGCCTCTCGTGCAAACTCCCGCTTCTCAGCTATCGTCAATTCTCATCCTCGTTTCACCATGGCTTTTTCTCTAATATTTTCAAGGTTTCTTCCATGAACAGTCGCGTCCTGACCGCGATACTTATGTTTCCATTTATTGGGAAAATATTTTACCAGGTGAGTCTTAACAACCTCGTATTCAGGCTCTCTCCTAGACGTAGGAGCATATTTGCACACTCGCTGTACAGCCTGTCTGCGCTAATTTCCGCCAAGATTCTAGCTTAAAACTAGGCGTAGTGCTTGAATTTACGGAGTCCACTAAATTACGTCCACTGCTTAAGCTTTTAAGTATTTATAAATGTATTTTAATTTCCCCAATTGTTGTAGGACAAGAGAACAATTTTGTTCGTTATCCCAAACAAACTATCACAACGCTTGGTCTTCAGTACGACTACGAAAGTGTCTTACATTATGGAAACACATTTTTCTCAAAGAATGGGCGGCCGACAATACTTGCGACGACGATGCCTTTGATCACGCTGGGTCAGCGGAATGGTATGAGCAAGTTGGATTACGCTAAAATTAACGTGCTGTATGATTGCAAATGTAAGATATATACATATATTAAACTAACTTTATTTCTATCAGTTCTAAACTGTTCTCCCTAGAGCTCGAGTAAGGATCATCTCTTATTGATCTAGTGTTACTACAGGAGGAAATCAATTTTTATACCGGATAGCTCTATCAGTTCTAAACTGTTCTTGCTAGAGGTCCAGTAAGAATCATCTCTTGTTGATCCAGTGTTACTACAGGAGGAAACCTAAACTAACTTTAATAAGTTCTTTGTATGTTTGCATGGTGATAAAATATAATAGGTTTTGTTTGTGGAAACACCACGTAAATTTATTACTGCAAAGCTTTCGATCCGTAAGCCCGGATCTTCATCAGTGCAAATTAGCACTGATGAAGATCCGGGCTTACGGATCGAAAGCTTTGCAGTAATAAATTTACGTGGTGTTTCCACAAACAAAACCTATTAAACTAACTTTATTTATTTATACCGGATAGCCCTACCAGTTCTAAACTGTTCTTCCTAGAGGTCCAGTAAGGATAATTTCTTATTGATCCAGTGTTACTACACGAGGAAACCTAAACTAAACCAGCTTTTTCTAAACTGTGACCCGTCACCCGAGAATTAATAAAATTTAATTATTTTTATGTTTAGTTCATCAACCAGACTCCTGGAGTCAATGGTCTCCATTTTCTCCATGTGACGAACTTTGTCGCAAGCAACGTCAGCGGTTTTGTTACTCAGAGCATCCTGGACGCTGCGATGATGCATCTTCCAGTGGACTGCAGACTCATGTTGTTCAATGCTCGTTTGAAGAGTGTTATGGTAGGATAACATTTGTGATCGAGATTTTAGGCATATCTCTGTCGCTCTGCGTATTAGCTCCTGTATCTTTCTACAGCAATAAGGAGGGTCAGATTTTGTCTTCCGCTATCGTTGCTATTGGCCAATCAAATGCATTTATTCTACCGGATTAACCAATCAAATGCGTATTAAGTCTGCGAGAGATAGTGGTACTGGAAGTCAAATCAGAACCTCTCTAGTACGAAACGAATAAGAGATTATCCTTACTGAAAAACAGTTTAGAACTGATAGAGCTATCCAGTGTAAATAAAGTTAGTTTAGTTTATGTTTCCTCCTGTAGTAACAGTAGGTCAATAAGAGATGATCCTTACTGGACCTGTAGGAAGGACAGTTTAGAACTGATAGAACTATCCAGTATAAATAAAGTTAGTTTAGTTTAGGTTTCCTCCTGTAGTAAGAGTAGGTCAATAAGAGATGATCCTTACTGGACCTATAGGAAGGCAGTTTAGAACTGATAGAACTATCCAGTATAAATAAAGTTAGTTTAGTTTAGGTTTCCTCCTGTAGTAACAGTAGGTCAATAAGAGATGATCCTTACTGGACCTATAGGAAGGACAGTTTAGAACTGATAGAACTATCCAGAATAAATAAAGTTAGTTTAGTTTAGGTTTCCTCCTGTAGTAACAATAAGAAATGATCTTTACTGGACCTCTAGGAAGAACAGTATGCATGTATGGCTAAATTATCGTAGTTAATTTTGTTCAAATATTTCAGCTCCTGTAGATGGTCACTGGAGTCGGTGGTCGCGCTTTACTGCATGTTCATCGTCATGTGGTATCGGATTTCATCGTCGTGTCCGACTATGTAACGATCCTCATCCGGCGTATGGCGGAAACGATTGTATCGGCAAAAGTTGGGAGTTGAGGAATTGTAGGCTGAGACTATGTAACCTAGGTAATCTTATCAACGGTTAACTGTTCTCTGTAGAAGTCTAACAAAGGCTGCTGGCCCAGCGTTACTACTGGATGAAACGTAAACTAACTTTATTTAGTGATAGCTCTATCAGTTCTAAACTGTTCCTCCTAGAGGTCCAGTAAGGATTATCTCTTATTGATCCAGTGTTACTACAGGAGGAAACCTAAACTAAACTAACTTTATTTATACTGGATAGCTCTATCAGTTCTAAACTATTCTTCCTAGAGGTCCAGTAAAGATCATGTCTTATTGATCCAGTGTTACTACAGGAGGAAACCTAAACTAAACTAACTTTATTTATACTGGATAGCTCTATCAGTTCTAAACTATTCTTCCTAGAGGTCCAGTAAAGATCATCTCTTATTGATCCAGTGTTACTACAGGAGGAAACCTAAACTAAACTAACTTTATTTATACTGAATAGCTCTATCAGTTCTAAACTGTTCTCCCTAGAGGTCCAGTAAGAGTCATTCTTGATACTATGACACTACATGAGGGTACCGAAGCACCAGCAGAAAGCCAGCTTTTAACACTCTATTCTGAGATCCCACCCATTTGACCCTAGCCTCCTGCGCAGACGTTGTTAGTGGCCGAGGCCTCACCTAACGTCTGCTCACATTCGCTATACATTTGACTTCCCGGCAATCAACCAATCACAGTCATCTGCACGATAATTAGAAGATCGACCTTCAATGACCTTCACACGCAAGGGCCATTTTATATCAACAAGTCCGTAATATTTTTAAATTTGAAAGTTTTAATACTGCGCGTGTCAGAAGCTTAAAAAGCTGGTAAACGAAAAGAAGGATGCTTTCGTCAATCTCGCAACTGGCGCAGGAATTACATATTTATCAGGCAGTTACCTAAGCTATTCGATGTAATATTTGGATTTAAATATTTAAACAAATTGTAAACATTTAGTTTTAAATCGTGGTTTCCCCATTGATAAATTCAACGCGAAATCAAGGGAAAAAAACTACACAATCTAGGAGTGAGTGCTCACTGTGTCATTATTAAGTGGAATATATCGAAAGCGATGAAGAACGCGAAGGCATTGGAATGGAAGAAGGGAAATATTCTGTATCATATTTGGCACAGGTAGAGTCACTGTTGAACGCTGGAGATTGGTGGCTATATTGATGTATTATAATAAATTCTAAAAATGTGTTCGCTTTTGTAATTCTCAAAGCCACAGGAATCGATCGGGCATTTTAGTAGTCGTTAATATTTTATAGTGTTTATTAAATTGAAGTTGTCTTTTTATACATTGCCTCTTATTACTATTGCATGTAGTACTATAGCATGCAAGTTCATATGACATATGAGACTTTCAATTATGAAGGATTTGCATCAGAGGGTTGGGGTATGCATACTAACTAGAATGGCTCATATAAACTTGCTAGTATACCACATCCAATAGATGTTAGTAGGCATATAAATACGAGCGCAACGTATACAAAGAAAAATTCAAGACAATATAAAATAACGACTATTAAAATGATCAAAGCCGATCGATTCCTGTGCTTTGAAAATTTAATACAAATGCGAACACATGTATGTTTAGGATTTATTATAATACATACTGACATGAGCTTCATGCATCAATAGCCAAAACACAAACGATTCTGCTATACATGCACTTTGTCTTCAACAATGACTCTGACTCTGCCTGGGGTGCCATATACAGAATATTTCCCTTCTTCCAATGCCTTCGCTTATTCATCGCTCTCAGTTCAACTTATAATAATGACACAGCACTGACTCCAGTTGTGAAATTGATGAAAACATCTTTCTTTTCGTTTACAATGGAATGAAAAGCTTCTTCTGATACGCGCAGTATTAAAACTTTCAAATTTAAAAATACTGCAGACTTGTTGATATAAAATGGCCCATGCGTGTGAAGGTCATTGAAGGTCGATCTTCTAATTATCGTGCAGATGACTGTGATTGGTTAATTGCCGGGAAGTCAAATGTATAGCGAATGTGAGCAGACGTTAGGTGAGGCCTCGGCCACTAACAACGTCTGCGCAGGAGGCTAATTTGACCCACACCCCCCTTCTTCCGGGTTAGCACTTTTTTCAATCCAGCAAACCTTTGTAAAGTCGTTTCTTTTTGGATTTTTTTTTATTTGGTTAGGGTTGAGGTTAGGGTTAGGGGTTAGAGTAGGGGTAGGGTTTGGGTTAGTTACATAGCCATTTAACACCTCTTCTATCTTGCGAAAATGACGTCAGGTCAGTTTGCTGGATGGAAAATAGTGCTAACCCTTGTTCCCAGGCTATTCCCTCGAATATTGTAATAGGATACCAATGGATATCTCAGGATACTGCCATGATACTGCCGTCCAAGGAAAATGGCGGCCTTCACCTCGTGGAATAAATGCGAATTTTCATGGCAGAATTTCGGACGCTTCTTAAATAGTTAGGTACATGAAAGTTTTTACAAAATTTAAGTACATTTCTTTGAATAGTTGTAAATGGTTTTTTAAACAAATTTTGTCAACCGGTGTTTGGAAATAGCGATATTAAATTCGGGGGGAGGTGTATAATCATTGATTTATATAATCCTACATAATTTCTATGGGCAGGGTATAAAAAAATTCAAATTTCCATGGAAAAAGGCATGTTTTCTTTGGGGCTAACATGCATTTGCAGGGAGGTAACGGGGATAAATATGAATTTGCAGTAAAAGAACGATATTTCCATTCCTGGTATTTATTATGTGGTCAATATCCTCTTGTAGGGCCACATAAAAAAAAATAGTTGGTTAGCGTCCCCGCCCGCCCACAAAAAAGGCCCCGCTCAGGATTTTTTTTTATTTTTTATTTAAAAAAACATGACTTTTATTGATCAACGGGGTTTAATATATGTAGTATTTCTGTTGACTGTAGTCAATTGTGTTAATAATTTGCGAAATTGCGTGCGAAAGTGACGGTATCAATTATATTTTGAAATATATAAAAAAATATCTGTACTGCGCAAGAAAATCCAGTTTCGGACCTAACAGTGAGTAAAACCAAGGCGTTAAAAATTAGTAAAAATTAAAAAAAAAAGCGCCCGCCCGCCCACTTTTTGGCAAAAGCTAAGGACGCTAACCAACTATTTTTTTTTATATGGCCTAATAGATTGCTCTTAATAATTTTAGGTCCTTATGACTGTGACTTTACAGACAACACATGTGGATGGCGACAGTCGTCTTTTGATGACTTTGAATGGGCACGAACTTCCGAAGGTACACCTTCCAGAAACACTGGACCTGATTGGGATCACACTGGATTGATTGAAGGCGTGGAGGAATCCCATGGTAACGAAACTTTTTCTGTCTTTGTTAAGGCCGATAGAATATATAGGGTCGGCACAAAGCTCTAGGAAGATGTTCTGTGATTGGTTGATTATGACAATGACAAAAGAATAAGCTATAGAATGGATTTTCTAAAGAAAGATCGAGCATTAGGCGTAAAAAAAATACCTGTGGTTCTGGTTCCCGACCGACCCTATTTTTTTCTGCCGACCCTATTATTTTTTCAACGCGATTGACCGTGCGACCCTATTTTCTCCAGGTGGTTGCGGGCTGCTCATACAGCGTGCCAAAATGGCGTCTGTTGTCACACTACAGGGTTCGAATTAATTCTGAAAAAATGGTTCGTGAATTTAAGGAAATTTTAAGGAATTTTCAAGGAATTTTCTCTAATTGGAAGTTAAAAAGTGGAAGCACTGCAATTTTCAAATATATAAATACGACTATAATATACATCGCAAACTCGCAAAGAAATAGAATTTTGGGTGGAATTATAATCGTTTTTAAGTACAATCTAACAACAATATCTTCAGAATATATGATCCTTCATTACATTTACAAAGAACTGAATTTATTATTGTACATTTTTATCAATTTGAGAAACTTTTGATTCGTGATTTTGATCAATTTCTATGAAATTGGGTTCGTGAAAAATGAAAATTGATTCGTAATTCACGAATAACGGTTCGTGATTCACGAATCACGAACCGTTATTTCGAACCCTGCACTAATTATTGAACCAAATTGCCTAAATTCGTTGATAGGAAATATGCATCTCTAGTTAATACTGATGTTGGGACTCTACTGCAAATCGCCCAGCAAAAAAAAACCGCCAAAACCATGAAAAAAATATTTTTAAAAATATATATTTCCGACCTACCGACCCTAATTTTTTCACCATATGAAACCGGAACCACAGGTTGTTTTTTTTTACACCTTAACTCCTTAGCGACAGGACCCTATTATCGCATTGCTTTGAAACAATGGGCTATTCCATTTAATATCCGTACCCCCCCTGTCGAGGATACATGTTTTTCATTGTCATACCCCTGAAGAATTCCAAACTCAAAACTGTTTACCCCTGAAGAATTCCAAAATTCCAAGCTCAAAACTCTTTACCCCTGAAGAATTCCAAGCTCAAAACCTTTTACCCCTGAAGAATTCCAAAATTCCAAGCTCAAAACCCTTTACCCCTGAAGAATTCCAAGCTCAAAACCTTTTACCCCTGAAGAATTCCAAGCTCAAAACCCTTCACCCCTAAAGAATTCCAAGCTCAAAACCCTTTACCCCTGAAGAATTTCAAGCTCAAAACCTTTTACCCCTGCAGAATTCCAAGCTCAAATCCCTTCACCCTGAAGAATTCCAAGCTCTGAAAAATTTCAATCTCGAACCTCTTTACCCCTGAAGAATTCCAAGCTCAAAACCCTTTACACCTGAAGAATTCCAAGCTCAAAACCACTTTACCCCTGAAGAATTCCAAGCTCAAAACACTTTACCCCTGAAGAATTCCAAGCTCAAAACCCTTTACCCCTGAAGAATTCCAGGGATCCTCGACAGGGGGGTACGGATATTTAATGGAATAGCCCAATGCGCTTCGACATTTAATATCTTCGGTTTATTGAATGCTACGAGGACAAAAATACCACCATTCGATTCAGTGTAACTAGATCTCCTCATTTGTAGCAATAGTTTTAGTCAATGGCAACATTATAGCGATTTATGAGCTTTGAAAGTAAAGCGAGATCATATGTGATCAAATTACGCATTTTACCAACAAATTATAAAAACATAAACATACCTTTCGCCGAATATAACTTCGGCCCCTTGAAACGTATCCTCATTGTGATATTCTTGATGAATTAATCATTTAAAATGCCATGTATAACGTTATTTCCAAGCTTCTATCCTTAAAGGGTGACTTTTAGTGCCGAATTTTACATTTCTGCTCCGAATTTGCGATAATCCCAACCGGAAATACGATGAAAACTCATCAAAACAATGCTACGCTTGTATCGCGTGACTCTGGAAATGCCAGAAATGGATTCTACAGATCAAAGTGCACCCATACGCGTGTGTTTGACGTCATCCCGGCTAAAGGGAGCTCCTTATTGGCCAAGTATTACGTAATACAAGCGCGTGCGAGTAAAACCCGATACTTTAAAAATTCAAAATAAATATTTCTAGTCGGCGTATACATACGAAACTTTCTATACCAAAGCGCTTGAATACAAAGAGTATTTTACACATATAGCCTTTCAGAAAATGACGAAAAGTTTAGAATATATTCAACTTTTTCTCTTTTTCTCGTTTGAATGTTTTGGTGAAGCGGTGAGTATAATATATGATTGTTTCGGTTTGTGTAATGTTTTGACGGCACTTGACCCCCCGTTCGAAAGGTTATTTTGTGAGGATTACAATGGTGGGTTTTGTTTTAAAGGGGGGTAAATACTCGCCGTGATATTTACATTAGAAAAATTGAATCGTAATGTAATACGAAACTACTTGTCGAGAAGGAGTTAAGAAGAATGTTCCTTTTATTGATGTAAGCCAATTATGTTTTTTGTCATTGTCATAATCAACCAGTCACAGAATATCTTCCTAGAGCTTCGTGTTTACTGGGAATTGAGGTGTCAGTTTACAGTTTACTGTTCACCATCACCATAGATGCCAAGGTCGTGTTTTGCCCACGTGTGAGATGAACACCGCAGTAACCGTAGGGGTGTCCAGGGGCATCCCCCCCCCGCCCCCCTCTCGAAAAAATCTTTGAAATTTGGGTCTCGGAAACGGCATTTCAAGCTTTCTGAGAATATATTTGGGAGTTATTTTTGGTTCTCAAAAACAAGGTTTTAGAGGTACATTTTGTGTTAAGGCCCAATGTTTAACAAGTAATAATGCACGCGAAAACATGTGCAACTTAAGTACGTCAAACTTTAAGCAGTATAATTGATAGCTTGTAGCCCGTGTGCAGGCCCAAGGGAAGAATAGTGGGCCTGCAAGCAAGGTCCGGTATTTTGTAAAATGCCCCTTTTCATATCACGCCCCTTTTCATAACACGCCCCATTCGCGCATCAATTGTCAAAAAAGAACCAATGACAGCAACCCAAATATTAACAAACAAACTCGCATTAAAATGTTGCGGGGTTTTCTCCGCCAGAACAGAAACAATGTGTAAATGGATGCGTTTTAACTCCAAAAAAAGCTAGCAATGCAGTCCGTAATTGCCAAATTTGCAAGTGCTCATTCCCAACTAAAATCGGAACAGGCAAATTAGGACGAATTTCAACAGAAAACCAGTCTCAAACTTCAAATTGTGAGGGAAGTTGTGCAACCACATTAGCATTTAATAATGCGTGCTTTGCTGTCGCCATTGTTATATTAAATAAATTGTCTCATCAGATCGTCTGTGCAATTCTTGTTGACGGCGGAAAGTACAAAATTTATTTAAGTTATTTGATTTAGTAAAGAACTCTACAAAAGAAGACAGCGTTCAGAGCGTCCAGATCGTTTCGTTTCAAACGGCAATTACCGTATTCTGTTTCGCTCAGCGAAGCCTTGCAAATCGCAAAGTGTTTCGAATAGGCTTACATGCAACTGCCTCTAAATCTTCACCGCGAAAAGCGCTGTTTTCTTCAGTGCAAGAACAGAGTCAACATCAACCAAAATGTAATTTTCTTGAGGAACATATAACATATCAAGTCTGTTTGAAATTAATGAAACTTAAGTAAAGGTTACTATAGTTTACCCCAGTCGTAATGTTGATTTTCCAACACTCCACGACAAGCAATCCCCATTGGCATAATGGCAAAAACATCTCTACCTTCAAGTAAACAATAAACAGTCTGTTCTTGTTCCATTTTTAAATGAAAAAGTGATCAATTTTCTGCTTATGTGTGAGATAATCAAACTGAAGCGTGTGAGCGTGAGAAATGATGCTGAGGCGTGTGTCACAGGCTTAATGCATGAGACTTGGCATCTATGCATCACCCGCCTGCATGGTTCATCAGGAGCCATGTGAAAATTTTCATTCTTTGATTATTTTTAATTATTTGCCTTAATTTTTTACACAAAGTGCTTTTTATAAGTTTGTTTTCTGTTCAAATTTTGCAAGAATATGTTCTGTATTTAGAATTTCGAAACATAGCCTACAACGGGCCATTCCAATTAATATCCACACACCCCTGTTGACGAGAATTCTGAATTTCTGTGGGGTGCCAAGTTGAAATTTCCGAGGGGGATTGTAAAAGGACAATTTCTGAAGGGGTCAAAATTGTTTTTTAATTTTCCAAGGGGTCAAAAATATTTTTTTTTAATTTCCGAGTGGGGGTGGAGGAAGGTACTACCTGTTGACGAAAATTTCCGAGGGGTGATCGATAAATTTCCGATGGGGTGGTCAATAAATTTCCGAGGGGGTGGTCAATAAATTTCCGAGGGGGTGGTCAATAAATTTCCGAGGGGGTCTATCATAATGGAACCAAGTCAACAGGTATTTGAGTTTTTCGAGGGGCTTGAGAAAATTGGAAATTTCCGTGGGGTTTCTACAAAAAATAGAGAATTTCCAAAGGGGGTCTCCCGAAAAACCATTTCTGAAGGGGTCTAAAATCAGTAACCTAGTCAACAGGGGTGTGTGGATTTTAAATGGAATGGCCCAACACCAACAGACTATAGCGTTTGCCATTTGATGCACAAGAATCGTCAAAAATATCCGAATTTTTGTTCTGCCGCCCTTGTTAGGCTGACTACTTCACGCTGCCCCACATGAGGACTAAGGGTCTGTTCATATGGGCAAAAGTTACCCCGGTTAGCGAGAAAACTTTTCGGCAAGTTTACAAGCGAGATCTCTCCTTGGGATGAAAACAATATGAAAAGTTACACTGTGTTCTTATGAGACAAAAAGTTTTCCTGTGTACTGAGATCTCACTTGTTGACATGCGAGATCTCAGTGACCGGGATAATGAAAACTATGAAATCTCACCATTTACTATTGATATGCCATGATATCAGAGCTGCCAAGTGCCACACATTTGGCCTGAACGTCACGCTTTTAAATTTTGGTTCTCTAGACAGTACAGCAAGCACTTCAGCACATATTTTAGCCCAATTTCACCTATGAGTATGGACAATAGTGGGGAAGCCTTGTCAAATCTTACATATTGTTATTAGCAATACCGTAAGGGCGGATTTTCAGTCCTTGCACGAAGCAGCTTGCAGCTAATTAAAATTAACTGTTTAGCATTGTGATTGGATGAAAGTGCTCATGCATGCTCTCGCTGCGAGCCGAGAGGACCTTCGTGCAAGAACTGGAAATCTGCCTTTAGAGAAGCGAAGCTGTGAGATATGTCATGCATTCTTATCTTACGAACTCGGCAGGTCTGCACTAATGCAAGTCAATTTTGCAAGTGCCACACGTGTGTAGGAGATTGATTTGTTGTTGGTGACAATTATCTGACAAACAACACCAATGGGCAAGCCTGGAGTTGCCATGCTCAAACCAATTATTTCTTTTCCATTCAGGCCATTTTATGTACATTGAGGCCTCCGGCAAACCAGCTGGCTACCATGCAAAGCTAGAGAGTCCTGTATTTCAAGATTTGGATGGACGTGACAGTATTTCAAATTGTTTATCATTCTATTATAATATGTATGGATTGGGCATGGGACAACTAAACATCTATCTTGTTTTTATTGATGGTCGCCATGAGCTGCTTTGGAAGACGTCTGGAAATCATGGTAAAGCATGGCATCATGGGACATTTACTTTCACATCCTTTTCGACCTATAAGGTGAGATGCTAAGAATGATTAATTAGTAAAAAATTGCAGAATTTTGGTCAGATGCAAAGGGCGACCGCAGGTACCTTAGGCCTAGCAAACGGGGGATAAAAGGAAATTTTTCAAAAATTCAAAAACCACCTCGAACTAGTCCAAACTTTCTGAAAATTATCGAAAACCTTTCCTGTTGATAAAAACATGATTTAAAATATTTTGGTCAGATGCATAGGGGGGACCACAGGGTACCTCAGGCCTAGCAAAGGGGGGACCAAAGAAAATTTCTCAAAAACATTGAAAACCTGCCTCAAACTAGTCCAACAAGCTTTCTGAAAATTGTCAAAAACCTTTCCTATCATCAAAACAATTACTTTCGATTGATAAAAACACAATTTAAAAAATTTTGGTCACATGCATAGGGGGGACCACAGGGTACCTTAGCCCTAGCAAAGGGGGGGACCAAAGGAAATTTCTCAAAAATTCAAAAACATTGAAAACCTGCCTCAAACTAGTCCCAACTTTCTGAAAATTGTCGAAAACCTTTCCTGTGATCAAAACAATTACTTTCGATCGATAAAAATGTGATTTAAAAAATTTCGGTCACATCCATAGGGGGGACCACAGAGTACCTTAGGCCTAGTAAAGGGGGGACCAAAGGAAATTTCTCAAAAATTCAAAAACATTGGAAAAAACTGCTTCAAACTAGTCCAAACTTTCTGAAAATTGTTGAAAACCTTTCCTATCATCAAAACAATTACTTTCGATGGATAAAAGCCTGATTTAAAGATAAAAAAAATTACTTTCGATTTTCAGATCGTATTTGAAGCTGTTCGTGGCGATGGTTACACCAGTGATGTGGCAATCGACGACGTAAGTGTGGTGAGGAATGGATGTGCTGAGCTATCCAAAAAAAGTAAGGAAGCAACATCAGCTAACACCGCTTAAACACGTCTGTGCATGCGTCGACATTTCTGAAATCAACTTTGCGAACATGGTATGAAGTATTCTGAAGGTTGTCAAAAACTCAAAATGGAAGCGATATGCAGCAATTTCGATGTTTTGCCTTTTCTCTGAGAATGGAACCTAATCTTTGTAACAACGTAAAAACTTGAAGTACTTACAGTCTACATGCACAAGAAATATTTTTACCGAAGAAAATAAACGAAAGGTGACTGTCGATAAATATTTCACATAAAACGTTCTTTAACTGAACCATACAAATCCTAGGTTCTTTCTAGGTTCATATGTATGACCACATTCTCCTCGATAACTAAAATGTTCGCGTTAACTATATTTAAGGGTAATGATTTACTCTGCAATTGAATCTATTTTATAGTTTTCTTATTAACTTTTGTGTACTTTGGTATTTTTAAGTAAAGTAATGCTATACCCTTTACTTTTCGTCCATTTTTAGCGACTCTTTCCATTTTTCATAAATGACCAAAAAAACAGCAAAAAAATAAGGCCATAGCCTTAACTTTTCGTCCATTTTTAGCAACTTCTTGCATTTTTCATAAATGACCAAAAAACAGCAAAAAAGTAAGGCTATAACCTTTACTTTTCGTCCATTTTTAGCAATTTTTTGCATTTTTCATAAATTACCAAAAAACAGCAAAAAAGTAAGATCTTGTCTAAAAGTACACACGAGTGACCACGAATGACCACGAGTGACCACGAGTGACCACGAGTGACCACGAGTGATTTCTGTGTTTAAAAGTCCTAAAATAATAATAAAAAACTATTTTAAGGTGGCTCCATAGGATTTTTGCATTATACTACACTTTTGTATCCAGAAAACGCCTGTTTCTTCACTTTACATGACACGAAGACGAAATTTATTGGACACATTGACAATGCTCTCCTGAACATTGCAATGCGCTACTTTTGCGCAGAAAGTCTGTTACCATGGCAACAGTGTGCTTTGGATAAGGCTCAAAATTTGTCTTTTTTTGGCCATTTTAAAAATCCTTTCTGGAAATTTTTTTTAGTTTTTCGACTATTGTACACGTCAGTCTACAGGAACATAGCAAAGCATCTGAAGTTGGGGGGGGGTTGTCAGAGGATTTTACCTGTAATTTGAATTTTTAATTAATAAATATTTACCTAAAGTGTAATAATTATAATAAAGCTTCTTGTGATAATGACTTGCACCGTCGTACTAAGTTTCGGGAGAAAACGGGGGTTTGGGGTACTCCCCCCAAAATTGTTCCATTTTTGAAGCTCTAGGACTGCAATTCTAGGACTGCAATTCTTACAAAAATGGTTATCATTTCACACAAATAATTACTTTATTACGCAAATTTTACCTGAAAATATCAAAATTTGTGTGTGTGGGGGGGTGGGGGGGTTTGGTTAGACGTCACATCTCGCAAAAAATGCCAAAATTAAACCTTAATTTCACCCTTTTCCTTCGGTAAATTGTTTTAAAACTTTGCACATTTCTTAATATCGGCTAAACAAGCTCAATATCCTTTTTTCTTAAAATTTTATTGAAGGAAATAATCTAAGAAACGTTCCATAAAATGTTTTAAAATTGAAGAAAAAAATCATTATACGACGACTGATCTTTTGTGCAAATTTTAAAATTTTTAAAACGGCCGGAAAAAGACAAAATTTGAGCTTAATTATCCAAAGCACGCTGTCACCATGGTAACGAACTTTCTGCGCAAACGTAGTACATTGCAATATTCAGGAGAGCATTGTCAATGTGTCCAATAAATTTCGTCTTCGTGTGATGTAAAGTGAAGAAACAGGCGTTTTCTGGATATACAAAAGTGTAGTATAATGCAAAAACCCTATGGAGCCACCTTAAAATGCTTTTTTATTATTATTTTATGACTTTTAAACACATAAATCACTCGTGGTCATTCGTGGTCACTCGTGGTCATCCGTGGTCACTCGTGGTCACTCGTGGTCATCCGTGGTCACTCGTGGTCACTCGTGTGTACTTTTAGACAAGACCAAAAAGTAAGGCTATAGCCTTTACTTTTCGTCTATTTTTAGCAACTTTTTGCATTTTTCATAAATGACCAAAAAACAGCAAAAAAGTAAGGCTATACCCTTTACTTTTCGTCCATTTTTAGCAACTTTTTCCATTTTTCATAAATGACCAAAAAACAGCAAAAAAGTAAGGCTATACCCTTTACTTTTCGTCCATTTTTAGCGACTTTTTCCATTTTTCATAAATGACCAAAAAACAGCAAAAAAGTAAGGCTATAGCCTTTACTTTTCGTCCATTTTTAGTAACTTTTTCCATTTTTCATAAATGACCAAAAAACAGCAAAAAAGTAAGGCGATACCCTTTTCTTTTCGTCCATTTTTAGCAACTTTATGCATTTTTCATGACCAAAAAACAGCAAAAAAGTAAGGCTACAGCCTTTACTTTTCGTCCATTTTTAGCAACTTTTTGCATTTTTCATAAATGACAAAAAAACAGCAAAAAAGTAAGGCTATTGCTTTAACTTTTCGTCCATTTTTAGCCACTTTTTCCATTTTTCATAAGTGGGAAAAAACAGCAAAAAATTAAGGCTATACGCTTTACTTTTCGTCCATTTTTAGCGACTTTTTCCATTTTTCTTAAGTGGGAAAAAACAGCAAAAAATTAAGGCTATATATAGCCTTAACTTTTCGTCCATTTTTGGCGACCTTTCTCATTTTTCATAAGTGGGAAAAAAACAGCAAAAAGATTAGATGCTGTTCTTGTTTGCCTGCGAACAGGTTGTAGATATATAGATACTTGTACCCAAGCCATTGCTTGTTTTGTTGTTCTGGGTACAATGAAATCCGGCGTAAATCCTGGGGGTCTAAATGTTCAGTATATTTAGACATTCGATCTATTTTCTGTTCAGTAGACTTTGATAGCTTGAACGAAAGTTTATAACAATGATTTTCTTTGCAAAAACTGTACTTTCGAAATTCGTCAGTTTCTGAATTTGAAAACTGATCACACGCACTACAAGTGCAGCAAGGCAACAGTTTAGACATGGTCATGAGGCAGGATGTGTGCAAGAAAAGCTTTACCAGAGTTTTGCCTTTCGAAATAAACGATTGGAAATTGCTGTTTGATTCTTTGTAATATCTTATCGCTTGTTAGTAAAAAAGAAATTTTTTCAAAAAAAACTGGCATCGTTTTTCTTGGGGTTAGGGGGTACAAATGGTACCCATAGCTTAGAGGGTGCAAATGGTACCCGTAAGAAGACTTGGTGGAATCATGACCATGGTGGCAAAGTTTTTTCAAACATTTTCTCTCCCGTAGTAAGGTAAAGCATGTATTTTCCTGGTAGCCGGTCTTACTTCATGAAAAAACAGTCCGCTACCAGTGACTAGGTCCCCTCTCTTATGTGTTCAATGGAACACAAAGGTATTCAGGCATGTAGAGCTAGGTATTCCTTTTCAGGGCGGTTGCATGCGGATAAGATGGTCCGTCGCGTGCGCAAAATAGTTAGGGAGATAGACAGTTTAGAAGCGCAATGAACACTCGCACGAAACGTAAAAATAAAATGGCTTAACAAAATTGCGAAAAAACAAAAAGTGACAACTGCCATTTTGAGCGTGCGCAATAGGGCGGTGGCATGCACAAAGTTTTCTCACAGGATGTCCTGGTTTTAACATAAATAATAAAAAGAAGTGTCCGTGGTCGGGGCTGAATAGTACTGTGGAAGATTGGGTTGGGAAATTTACAATTAAGATCTGTATTCTTGGACAATTATTACTCATTGAAAAATAGTATCCTACTGATGTAAAATAACATCTAAAGGGTTTGGCAACAATGATGTCCAAAGAGAATGTTAGCCCCAAAGTTTATTTCATAAAATGATTTATCTTTGAAAATACTGAATTACAAGACAGTTTAAAAAAATTTCGAGTAAAAGTTTAATAATAATTTAATTGATAAGGCCATTTCCACTCAAGAAAATTTGGGGCTAATATTAGGCTTAATGCATATGTCGTTCTTTGTCTTTGATTTAAAGGAAAAATACCAAACTCTCTTAACGTCTTTGTTGCCAGCAGTTGTGTAACTTTCATGAAAAAATCAAAGTCTTGAGGTTTTGTTTTACTTATATAACTAACATGTTTTTTTTTATTTTCAACAAAGTAATAATGGTCTAGAAATACAGATTTATATTGCACATGTTAGTAAGTTTCTTCTGTAACTGCACAATTATTGCAAAATTGTGCGCTTATCACACTATTAAAATTAGTAAGGTCTGGGAACATTGGCACAACTGCTTGTTCCCATGCATAAATTATTAACTAATTTTTGGGATTGGATTTATTCAAATTTGAGATGATTTTGAACACATATTGGTACCAATGTTACTCATTCTATGAGTAAAATATTGGTCGTTTATACATTGTTCTAGTTTTTATAGCTTTTATTGTTTTAACAGTCGAAATATATGTTGATTTTGTTGAATTATTTGTTAATTATTCGTTCATTTTATGCATGATGAAACCCGAAATTTATAGTTTGATGGTAACAACAAATTTGAGCATATAAAAATGTTAAAATTGTACACCAAAACACTAGCTGCAATATTTGAACTCGCTACAACACAACTAGTTTTAAATACGTTTGAATTGAATTTCATACATGCAGTATTTCAAATGTTGTGATTATCTGTTTCAAAACTTTTGAAATCATGCATACAGCTATTTCAGTATTAAGGTTGTCCACGAGCAAAGCGGAAAAGACGAATACGAGCGCGCAAGGCTGCTGCGCGGGAATCGCTAACAACTGAGTCGTCAGTCAGGAACCTTGTCAGCCTTTCGCGCTCGTATTCGACTTTTCCGCTTTGCTCGTGGACAACCTTAATATTGAAATAGCTGTATGCATGATTTCAAAAGTTTTGAAACAGATAATCAATCACAACATTTGAAATACTGCATGTATGAAATTCAATTCAAACGTATTTAAAACTAGTTGTGTTCTAGTGAGTTCAAATATTACAGCTAGTGTTTTGGTGTACAATTTTAACTTTTTTATATGCTCAAATTTGTTGTGATCATCAAACTATAAATTTCGGGTTTCATCATGCATAAAATGAACGAAAATTAACAAATAATTCAACAAAATCAACATATATTTCGACTGTTAAAACAATAAAAGCTATAAAAACTAGAACCATTAATGTATAAACGAACAATATTTCACTCATAGAATGAGTAACATTGGTACCAATATGTGTTCAAAATCATCTCAAATTTGAATAAATCCAATCCCAAAAATTAGTTAAAAATTTATGCATAGGAACAAGCAGTTGTGTGTGTGCCAATGTTCACAGACAATTCACAGTACTATTTGGTTTGTGGGTTCAAATCCCAACGCACTTAATTTTTTATTTATATAAAAAAATGGATGCGATGGATCCAAAGGATGCGATGGATAAATAGATCTTTTTTTAAAAGAATCCAATGGATGCGATGGATCCAAAGGATGCGATGGATCCAATGGATGTGATGGATCCAATGGATGCGATGGATAAATAGATCCTTTTTTTAAAAGGATCCAATGGATGCGATGGATCCAAAGGATCCGATGGATCCAAAGGATGTGATGGATCCAATGGATGCGATGGATCCAAAGGATGCGATGGATAAATAGATCCTTTTTTTAAAAGGATCCAATGGATGCGATGGATTCAAAGGATGCGATGGATAAATAGATCCTTTTTTTAAAAGGATCCAATGGATGCGATGGATCCAATGGATGCGATGGATCCAAAGGATGCGATGGATAAATAGATCCTTTTTTTAAAAGGATCCAATGGATGCGATGGATCCAATGGATGCGATGGATCCAATGGATGCGATGGATCCAAAGGATGCGATGGATAAATAGATCCTTTTTTTAAAAGGATCCAATGGATGCGATGGATCCAAAGGATCCGATGGATTCAAAGGACGCGATGGATAAATAGATCCTTTTTTTAATAGGATCCAATGGATGCGATGGATAAATAGATCCTTTTTTTAAAAGGATCCAATGGATGCGATGGATCCAAAGGATCCGAAGGCTCCGATGGATAAATAGTTCCTTTTTTAAAAGGATCCGATGGATCCAAAGGATGCGATCGATAAATAGATCCTGTTTTAAAAGGATCCAATGGATGCGATGGATCCAAAGGATCCGATGGATAAATAGATCCTGTTTTAAAAGGATCCAATGGATGCGATGGATTCAAAGGACGCGATGGATAAATAGATCCTTTTTTTAAAAGGATCCAATGGATGCGATGGATCCAAAGGATCCGAAGGATCCGATGGATAAATAGTTCCTTTTTTAAAAGGATCCAATGGATCCAAAGGATGCGATCGATAAATAGATCCTGTTTTAAAAGGATCCAATGGATGCGATGGATCCAAAGGATGCGATGGATAAATAGATATTCTATTTATCCATCGCATCCATTGGATCCATCGCATCCATTGGATCCTTTTAAAACAGGATCTATTTATCCATCGCATCCTTTGGATCCATCGCATCCATTGGATCCTTTTAAAACAGGATCTATTTATCGATCGCATCCTTTTGGATCCACTGGATCCTTATAAAACAGGAACTATTTATCCATCGCATCCTTTGGATCCATTGGATCCTTTTAAAACAGGATCTATTTATCCATCGCATCCTTTGGATCCATCGGATCCATTTTTTTTTTTAACAACAACTTATCAAAAAAATGGATCCAATGGATACAATGGGTAAGTATTTAGCTATAACTAAATACTTATCCGTTGTATCCATCGGATCCATCTTTTTTTTTTAACAACAACTTATCCGATGTATCCATCGGATCCATTTTTTTGATAAGTGTTTAGTTATAGGTAAATACTTATCCGTTGTATGCTTGCAAAATACTCATCGAATACGCGAGGAAGTTTACCTCTATGGAAGGTAGACATGAACAGTGTATTATGATAAAAAAGTAAGGTCACAAAACTTGAGAAGTTGAAGTTGAATGAAGAGAGGGTTAGTATGATCCTGATAGGTTGGAAAATAAATAAATAGCTAAAATGAAAAAACTAGCTAAAAATGTGCGAAAAGTAAAGGCTATATAGCCTTTGCCAAACATGGCCAAAATGATAAAATATATATCTGATAAAACACTCCTACGCGTGCTTAAAAATAGTACGTATAATTTGATCTTACTGAGGGTAAAAATACGCAGGTAAAAATATTATAAATGTAGAATAAAAAACTATAATTAGACTAGTTCTAAGAGACTTGATATAATGTTTGTATTAGTACTACACCTTGGAATATTAAAAAAGTTTGGATTTCTTAAGTTGTAAGTATTTGAATGCTTTGTAGGCATAAAGAGATGGTGAATTATATGTTTGTCATTCACTATTGTTTTGAAGACTTTAGTACATAATGCCCTTTTCTTGTCTTCAAAGTGGAATTCCATATCTAATTCTTCAATGGCTTCTGAATACAAGTCCGGGCATACAATACGCAAAGGCTCTCTTGTGAATCTGCTCTATTTGGTCTGAAAGATATTCCGGGAGACCGTAATGATACATCTTGTATAGAAGCAATGTTTCTACATTTTAAATCATTGTCACTAAGACCCGATTTCTTTAGTTGTTTCATCAGAACAGTCGCTTCGCTGCTTTAGTTGGGCATTCTACTAATTCATGTCTTGAGTGATCAATCAACCGAGAATCATTGCTTTTTCAATACGCTCTACCAGCTTCAACACGCTCTACGTTTCAGTGTGAAGTATTGTTGCGTGTGCATATAACCCAAATCCAAACGGCCGTTATGATACGACAGTGTTCCAGGAATTTAACCGACAGTGTTCCAGGAATTTAACCTAGAGACGCAAATGTACTGCACTGTTTAATAGACCTTTCCCCTTTTAAGTGAAATTTTGATCTTGACAAGTCTGGACAAAAATTTCATGACAGCTTAAAATCACAAAATTAGTAATATTCCGAAGTTTCGTTGCGAAATGTTGTAAAATGCGAATAATATAGCCCTGCGAAGTTTGCCGTTTTTCAGTCATTTTGTATTACAAACGAGAAATTGATAATCAGATGATCAAACTGATTATCAATTCATTTGTAATACAAAATGACTGAAAAACGGCAAACTTCGCAAGTATCCGCATTTTGCAACGAAACTTCAGAGTATTACTAATTTTGCGATGCTCTTTCAAGCTGTGATGAAATATTTGTCCAGGCTAGTCTAGATCAAAATTTTACTTAAAAGGGGAAAGGTCTATTGAGGGGAATTAGCCTTTCTCACGAGAAGGCGAAATTCGCCATTCTGGGGTACTTTATTGAAAACGAAGCAATGTGAAAACAGTTTTTCAAATATTCAACTTAACTTTTAATGATTATATACTAACGGCCTATTGACCGAGCGTGAGGTCTGTACTGTGAAATATCAGACCGAGGTTTTTTAGTATGGACCGAGCGACAAAGGAGCGAGGTTCATGCAAAAAACAGAGGTCTGATATTTCACAGTGCAGACCGAACAAGCAAGGTCAATCGGTTTATTATATGGCTGAACTGAGTCTGCGAGCATATGGTTTTCGTGCTAATTAAATCGGCTATCGTCAGTTTCACTGGGTAACAATATACGGTAGGCATGCACCGCTCAATCAAAAACAATTTGGTTGTTTGAAATTTTTATCTGTACATTTTAATGACACACAATTGGAAAATTAAAAAGCAAAAATTTTTTCTGTTTGCAAAGCAAGAATTTCCCGCCAGATAAACGACATCCAGGACACTGGTCCAAATACGGAAAATACGGACCACGGGTCCGGATATGGGTTTTTACGGACCGCTTGTCAACCAATCAGAATAGAGAATTTTGAAAAGCCATATAATTGTTGAAAGTATACACTCGTAAACTTTATATAAG